GCTGGGAATTGGGAAAGAGCAAACTTTGTTGCTTTGATTTAAGCCCACCTAGGTACCTACTATACTACCACCCTTACTACAGCTTACAGAGGAAGCACTTCCACTAAAAAAACCCAATCTTAGCTTCCAGCCTTCAAAAGTCAGAGCTACAGCTCTGCAATCCATAAAGCTCAGGCCTCCTTCTGATTGAAGAGCTCCACCTCTGACTCAGCAGGGAACATGTTGGACCTCTACTAAGACCATGGATTTCACATTGAGAGCATGGGGCCTTTTCTACACCATACTGGCTTTTCTATTGTGGTTACCAGGCTGTGTCTGCTTTCTAAATAAAGTTAAACGGTAAAAATGTTTGTTTTGATGCACCTGGAATATATTTAGTAGATTTAAAATGAAGGCGGCTTTAATTTTTAAATGGTTGGGGATAAAAGGGTCCCCTTTTTCTCATTATAGATGGAAAAAAAAAAAAAAAAAAAGACAGACATGGCTTTTTTTTTTTGGTTTTGATATTTGTGCTAAGCATATCTTTTATCCTCCCACATGAAGCCCTTCTGTAGAGAACTACTCTAAAACCTTTAGTATATTGTATATAGAGAGAACAGAACAGGTAGTACTTTGATCCTTATCTGTCCACTTTGTTGCACACAGCAATAATGTCTAATGAATAGACAAGCACATACCTGTACGAGTATTCAATCTATTTTACTGGCTTCACTTGGGTCATTTTGCACTATTGACAAGGATTTATATTTAAAATGTGGAGAGAAAGGAAGGTGCAAATGAATGCAGAATTTAGATACCTGTAAGTCCAACCTATTGCCAATACAGGGGGGGAAATAATTATGATCCCCTGCAGACTTTGTAAGTTTGCCTTCTTACAAAGAAATGAAGGGTCTATAATTTTTCCCATAGCTGTATTTTAAATACAACCAAAAATTCAGAAAAACAAACAAAATGTTATAAACTGAGTTGCAGTTCAGTGAGTAAAATAAGTATTTGATCCCCTACCAACCAACAATAATTCTGGCTCCCACAGACTGGCTATGTGCTCATGTGGTACACAGATTAGTCCTGTCAATTTTTGAAGGTGCTCCTAACAACAATTTGTATAAAAGACACCTGTCCACAGAATCTCTTCTATTCAAACCTCACCACCATGGGCAAGACTAAAAACTGTCAAAGGACATCAGTTACAAAATTGTAGACTTGCACAAGGAGAAATGAGCCACAAGACCAACAGTAAGAAGCTTGGTGAGGAGACAACTGTTTGATGGTTATTTTGTATTCCTTCCATTTGTAAATAATCACTCCGTCACCCTCGGCCTGGAGCTCCATGCAAGCTTTCACCTCATGGGATAAGGATGATCATGGGAAATCCTCATGAGATCAGCCCAGAGCTACACCAGAGGAGCTTGTGAATGATCTCAAGGCAATTGAGACCACAGTCACCAAACAAACCATTGGTAACACAATATGCCATCATGGATTGAAATCCTGCAGTGCCCACAAGGTCCCCCTCCTCAAGAAGGCACATGTACAGGCCTGTCTGAAGCTTGCCAATGAACATCTAAATCAGCCTCTCTCAACCAGGGTGCCTTGAGGTTTCTTTAGGGGTGCCTTTGCAAAAAGTCTACAAATTGCCCAAAACTTATATCCAAGCCAGCGAGTGGAACACTCCTGGCTTTTAGTTACACAAAGCCACAGGTTTTCATTGTGCATCATTACAACCATCTAGCTGCTGGTGTCCTGACAACCAGTGACATCATCAGTTGATAAGGAGGATATCAGCTGCCTGCACAGCACCCTAGTTTGGCCCTCCCCCTGCCCATTTCCATCAGTGGTGGGATCACATTAGCTCAGTGATGGACAAAAACTGAGGGAGAACAGAAACACTGGAATACTAGTCAGTACCAGTGTGCAAAACCATATTTGTTTTGGAAGAATAAATCACCTCTACCATTGGGTGTCCTACATGTGAGGATGTTGCTGAGTTATATAAAACTATTAGAATAGTTTTTCACATTTTAGAATGGGGTGCCTCAAGACTGTCCATAATTTTAAAGGGTGCTTCAAGACTGTCCATAATTTTAAAGGGTGCCTTGACTGAAAAAAGGTTGAAACACTGATCTAAATGATTGAGAAAAAAGATTGGGAGAAAGTGCTGTGGTCAGATGAGGCCAAAATTGTGCTCCTTGGCATTAACTCGACTCGCTGTGTTTGGAAGAAGAGAAATGCTGACTATGATCCTATGAACACCATCCCTACAGTCAAGCATGAAGGTAAAAACATTATGCTTTGGGGTCGTTTTTCTGCTAAAGGTACAAGCCGATTTTGCCGCATTGAGGGGCCAATGGACAGAACCATGTATTGTAAAATCTTGGATGAGAATCTTCTTCCCTCAGCCAGAACACTGAAGATGGGTCTTCCAGCATGACAATGACCCAAAACATAACGTCAAGGCAACAAAGGAGTGGCTCAAGAAGAAGCATATTAAGGTCATGGAGTGGCCTAGCCAGTCTCCAGACCCTAATCCTGTAGAAAATTTATGGAGAGAGCTGAAGCTTTGAGTTGCCAAGCGACAGCCAAGAAACCTTAAATATTTAGAGAAGATCTGTAAAGAAGATATTTAGAGACGATCTGTAAGAAAATCCCTCCTAAGATGTGTGCAAACCTGGTGACCAACTACAAGAAACGTCTTCCCTCTGTGCTTGCCAACAAGGGTTTCTCCTCCAAGTACTAAGTCATGTTTTGCTTGAGGATCAAACACTTATTTTACTCACTGAACTGCAACACAATTTATAACATTTGTATCGTGTTTTTTTGTGGACTTTTGGTTGATATTCTATCTCTATCATTTAAAATACACCTATGATACAAATTATAGACCCTTCATTTCTTTGTAAGTGGGCAAACTTACAAAATCTGCAGGGGATCAAATAATTATTTTCCCCACTGTATGCACCTTCAGGGCTCATTCACACCACAGTGCAAGCAGAAGCCTACGTATAATGTGCATGCACATAAAGACAATCTGCTCTAATTTTTTTTTCAGAGCACACCAGTGCAGTGCATTACACATTAAAAATGTGCCACTTTCAGTTGTCCTATATCACCTAATAATATTTGCAAAGCTAGAAAATGAGCACAGATTGTTGACTATCCAGTGAATGCAGTACATGAAAAGAATCCACTATGAAAATCTTCTCTGCATATTGAGAGTGTTTACCATTTAGGTGAGTAGCATTTTAATATAAATGTATGTATTTTGTTCAAGAGTAAGATGTGATCAGGTGCAAAGTACTTCAAGCGTGGATCACAGGAGTACAGTGCATTCTGTACTCCTGTGACCAGTTTTCAGCCGAGAGAAGGCTAAAGCCTGCTGTCGGCTAACATTACTGAGCTGTACCAGGCTGGGGAAAAAAAAAAAAATTGCGATCACATAGTTGGTATCCAACCAGGAGCCTGGACCGGCATCTGGCTCAACCTCTTGCAAAGCCGCTGAGAGCCTGAGCCAGCCCCTCCTGCTCCCTCCATAGCCCAGTCACCGCTCACTGCTCATTGCGGAGGGGAGAACTGAGTGATCAGTGGTGTCCTATCGCTCAGTTCTCAGCCATAGAGTCAGCAGGGGACAGATGCAGCATCGGATCGATGCTTCATCCACCTAGGTAAGTATGATTTTACAATAAAAAAAGAATCCCATAATTCTCTTTCAAAAGAACCAGTAACATATGAGCTTATGCAAGAACCCAGTATTCAGTGTTAGATTATAAATATCCAGACCTATACTATGAAAATTATCATTGGTCCCTACGTGGCTTAACTTATTCTGTACAAGGATGATTCTATATCCCAAAAGTTGGAAGCAAGATCACCTGAAATCTGACCTTTGCTGCTTCACCAGCTGTCAGGCCAAATGCATTGAGTAAAAAAAAAAAAAAAAAATGAAACAACTACATGGGGCCAGACCTGATTGGCTTAGTGCTGCTCCTCCTCCTTCCATCCAAGAAGGGATTAGAGGAGACTGATTCAAATCAATGAGGGGAATTCATTAAGACTGGAGTAAATGTGCAATGCAACCAGTGGAATTATAGCTTTCATTTTTAAAGCTGAACTAAACCCTCATTCTTTTCAGCCAAAGAAGCAGCCATCTTTGCCGCTGTTTGATCTTCAACTGCCATGATGCTGCACATGTGATCTGTTATGACACCAGCCATTTCATGTTTTGACAGTTTGGATTGAGAGCACAAGCAAATGTGACAGTTAGCATTCCTTGCATGCCGGGAATGAAAGTTTTAAATTGATGGATTTAGTTCCGTTTTAAAAGAACAAGCTGATGTTAGAAGCTGATTGGCTGCCATGCACAGCTGCTCCAGTTTTAGTGAAACCCTGTATTATCTTTATGACAGCTGCATGTAACATATAAAGATTTATAATGAACACATAACTAAAATTGTGTTTCTTTTAGATCTGCACGGAGTTCATCTTTAAAAAATAATCAACATGCCTTCACAGATATTTCATTTTTGTTGCACACAAATTATTACGAGCGCAGAGACATGAGATTTTCTGCACATGATCTGCAAGGGCACAAAATAAAAACAACTGTTCTTTGTGTGCCCTGTTCTCACAACACTTGTACCATGCAGAAATATTTCTACACAGGAATCTGCAAAGTGTATAAAACACACTAAACGTGCATAAAAATTGATGTAAATTAGCAGGCTCTGCAAGTGAAACCTGTGTTTTTTTCCATCTGTTTTCCTGCATGTATGGTGTGAACAAGACCTACAAATGAACACTGGCATCACTGTCCATGCTGCCAAAGCAGTGAGAGGCACAGAAATCAGTTAGGCCTCACAGTCATAGCTGGCCGGCCAATACATACCACTTGTTGGACAGACATCGGATACCCAGGACACTTCTGTCTCTGATTTACAGCAGCGTTGGCTACTATTCTATTTTACTAGGTGATACTATTCTACGGTGAAATGGTAAACACTTACTGGATCGACAGTTGGTAAAAAAACCTTCTTCTCTTGTAACTCTTCTTCCTCATCTGTACTGTACTCTTCCATGGTTTCCCCACTGGCAAAGTGGATAATTCTACGAGGAATTTTCTTTTTCTCTCCTTACATCCCCTAGCTCAACACTCTCAAACTCACGGTCCCCACTGGACATGACCTGGACAAATAAAAACAAAACACATTATTAAATAAAACAAACAAAAAAAACAAAACAAACTTATCGCATCTAAAAGTGATATTTAAGTCACAGATTGAGCCTGGCAGAAGAGTCAGCCTGTGACTTCCTTAAACCATTTGGATACTCAAACAAACAACATTTCCCGGTCTATGATTCCACCTGTACTGGCCAATCATCTGTGTCTGGGACATTCCCCGCCACCCAGCTGCACGTATACATGTCAGGAAGAAGGGTCAGCCACACACCAGAGGATAGATGAATATAGTGTACATTTATTGATCCATAGGACACACAAAACACCAGGACATGAATACAGGACCTGTTAATGTGTTTCACACAATCTCCTGCTTAAAGTGCAGTTCCACTCACGCTGTCAAAAAATAAAAGTCAGCAGCTACAAAAACTGTAGCTGCTGGCTTTTAAGAAATACACACTTACCTGTCCCTCGGTGTGTCCCCTGCAGCCCGTTTCACCGGCCGTCCTGTATTCCAGGAGGCTGGCATCTTCAGTGTGGGCACCCGGCTGTGACTTCACAGCCGGGTACCTATTGCACATGCGTGAGTAGCGCTGCGCTTCGTGAATGGTCCTGTAGTCTTCTGGGACCTGTCACATGTCCCAAAAGACTACAGGGAGGGAGGACACCTTTCGCTACCAATCGCCAAGGCGATCAGACTGGAAGTGGGAGCGGGTACCTGTCAAATTCGGGTACCCGCCCCCCAAAGGTGCCAATCCTTAATGAGGAGCAGTCCTTAAAGCGTAACTTCCCCTTTTGAGTGGAGCTCTGCTTTAATTAATTAAGCACGAGATGTGAAACGCAATAACAGGTCCTGTATTCATGTCCGGGTGTTTTGTGTGTCCTATGGATCAATAAATACACATATTCATCTATCCTCTGGTGTGAGGCTGACCCTTCATCCTGTTGCATCATGTGGGGTGGTGAGCCAGAGACTGCGCCTGTCGTGGATTGATCTGGATTGTTTGCCTGAGGGGTATACCTCTGTTCTATGTATACATGTCCCTTGTATGTGTGCTGCTGCATGGCAGGGAATGCCCCAGACATAGATGATTGGCCAGTACAGGTGCCAGCTTCCTGACATGATCACATTAATGTGGGATCAGATCCCAGGCCAAACTTGTCAGAGCTCATCGCTGTCTTCCATCATCTCCGCCTCTCTGTGTACATTCAGCTGTGGATGGGGGGCACCTTAGTGGCAGCTGATTGCAGCAAATGACAGGTTCACTTTGAAGCCAAGTTCAGAGCAAACCTCAGCTCAGCCTTATAGTCAGCTTCCCAATTCCCTGAATAATGGAAGGAGGAAATAGAGAGACTGGAAACCCCAAAACGAAGCAGAACATGTGATATCAGGGCATGCTGGGAGTTGTAGTCCTACAGCAGATGTGTGGACACAAGACAGGTCCTCTTCTCCCAGCCTGTGCAGAGTGAAGGCAGTGCTGTGGCTGGTTGTATATACACTGCCCATATATATTTATATATATATACACACCCCACACTGAGCTCTGCTGACATATGACAGCACACGTCACCGGCCCACACCGCTTACCTCCCCAGTGGCCATACTTGAGCCCCCCAACACCGGCTGCCAGGCAACAACACCGACTCCCAGCTCCTCCCTGAGCCGTACACAGACACTCCGTACTCTCCAGGCCTCAACGTGTACGCGCACAGCAGACGCTCCCTCACCTGCATTCCTATTGGACGGCGCTTTCAGACTTGAATCCCTAATGGACGGGACTCTCCCACTTGTTTTCCTATTGGACGGCGTTCCCCTCGCTTGTTTTCCTATTGGCCGGCGTTACCCTAGCTTGTTTTTCTATTGGGGCTTCCGCTTTTACGTTATATCAAGCGAACAGGCTGCCGCCTGAAGGTGGCGTTGCTTTCCAAAAATCCGCAAGCTAAACAGCAAATGGCGCTGCTGAAAGGTGTGACCTCAGGTTTTCCTGAATGAGAGCAGCTGCTGTGTCTGTGTGGTGTGCTTGGAGCCCTACTGGGGAGGATGAGGGAGGTGGAGGAGCCTGAGCTGTATAGAAAGAGCTGTTGATATTTGCCAAACTTTAAAGCAGTAGTAAACCGCATCCAAAGAAACAAAAGAAAAAATCCCCTGCAAGGTAAAGGCATAATTTACTAGTATGCTTTGCATGGTAGCACTTTATGAAGGACTTACCTTAAAACTAGGCCCACCTAGTGCTTTCACTGCTCCCCGGGGCATCCATCTTCACCCAGTCTTCCTTCCGGGTTCACAAGCTCTGGCCGTCTGACTGGCTGAGCAGCGATGGCGTCATTCCCACGCATGCCAAGGCACAGCGCTCTGAAGGAACAACACGGGTGTGCCGGCTATCAAAAAGAGCAAATATCTCCTAAACACTGCACATTTAGGAGATATTCATTTTACCTACAGCTAAGATTTATTATAACCTTACGTGGAGGTAAAATGATTAAAGAAGAGTTTACTACAACTTTAATTCTTATAAGCCAGAGGAAGGGATTTGATCAGGCCCGGACTGGCCATAGGGCCCACCGGGCATTTGCCGCCTGGATAAGGGGGGCGGCTGGGTGGCCCATAGAGGAACCAGACCATGCATTTCTCGGTTCCCCTATGTGCCACCTGGCCACCCCTCCTATCCATCTCCTGCATGCCCTGGGTTCCTGTATGCTCTCCCCATAGCTGCCGCCCCCCTCATCTCCTGCAGCGCTGACACCGGTTTCCCCCCTCCCTGCAGCTGCTGCTGCGGATCTGTCAGGATAGACTGTCCCCAGTGCTGACAGTTCCCCACCCACCAGAGATGGGGGGGGGGGAGAGAGCTGCCCCTCCTCCTCCCACCCACTTCTCCTGTGTCTGTCCTGCCCACACTCCCCAGCAGTCTTGTGTCTTTTCTCCCCCCTTCTTTCTTTCTGTCTCTCTCCTTTTCCCCTCTTTATTTCCCTCCTTCCTTCTTTCCCTCTTTCTTTCCCTCATTCCTTTCCTCCTTCCTTTTTTCCCTCCTTCCCTATTTCCTTCTTTCCCTTCTTCCCTCCTTCCTTCTTTCCCACCTTCCTTCTTTCCTTCTTTTCCTCCTTCCATCTTCCTTTTTACCCTCTTTCTGTCCCTCCTTCCTTCTTTCCCTCCCTCCTTTCTTTCTTTCTTTCCCTCCTTCTTTCCTTCCTTCCCTCCTTCTTTCTTTCCCTCCTTTCTTTCTTTCTTTCTTTCTTTCTTTCTTTCTTTCTTTCCCTCCTTCCTTCTTTCCCTCCTTCCTTCTTTCCCTCCTTCTTTCACTCTTTCTTTCCCTCCTTCTTTCTTTCCCTCCTTCTTTCTTTTCTTTCTTTCCCTCTTTCTTTTCCTCCTTCCTTCTTTCCCTCCTTCCTCTTTTCCCTCCTTTCTTTCCCTCCTTTCCTTCCCTCCTTTCTTTCCCTCCTTTCTTTCCCTCCTTTCTTTCCCTCCTTTTTTCTTTCCCTACTTTTTTCTTTCCCTACTTCTTTTCCTGCTTCTTTCCTTTCTTCCTTCTTTTCCCCTTTCTTTGCCTACTTCCTTCTTTCCCTCCCTCCTTCCTTCCTTCCTGCCTTCCTTCCTTCCCTTCTTTTCCTTCTTTCCCTCCTTCCTCTTTTCCCTCCTTCCTTCTTTCCATACTGCTTTTCCTCCTTTCCTTCCTTCCTTCTTTTCCTCTTTCTTTCCCTTCTTTCCCTCCTATTTTTCCTCCTTGTTTCCTTCCCTCATTCCTTCTTTCCCTGTTTCTTTCCCTCCTTCTTTCTTTTCCTCTTTCTTTCCCTCCTTCGTTATTTCACTCCTTTCTTTTTTCTCTCCTTCCTTCCATCTTTCCCTCCTTCCTTCTTTCCCTCCTTCCTTCTTTTCCTCCTTCTTTCCCTCCTTCCTTCTTTTCCTCCTTCTTTCCCTCCTTCCCTTTTTCCCTTCTTCCTCATTTCCCTCCTTTCTTCTTTCCCTCCCTTCTTTTTTCCTTCTTTTCCTCCTTCCTCTTTTCCCTCCTTCCTTCTTTCCCTCCTATTTTTCCTCCTTCCTTCTTTCTTTCCCTCATTCCTTCTTTCCCTGTTTCTTTCCCTCCTTCATTCTTTTCCTCTTTCTTTCCCTCCTTCCTTATTTCGCTTCTTTCTTTTTTCTCTCCTTCCTTCCTACTTTCTCTCCTTCCTTCTTTCCCTCCTTCCTTCTTTCCCTCCTTCCTTTGTTCCCTCCTTCCTTCCTTCCTTCTTTTCCTCCTTCTTTCCCTCCTTCCCTTTTTCCCTTCTTCCTCATTTCCCTCCTTTCTTCTTTCCCTCCCTTCTTTTTTCCTTCTTTTCCTCCTTCCTCTTTTCCCTCCTTCCTTCTTTCCCTCCTATTTTTCCTCCTTCTTTCTTTCCCTCATTCCTTCTTTCCCTGTTTCTTTCCCTCCTTCATTCTTTTCCACTTTCTTTCCCTCCTTCCTTATTTCGCTTCTTTCTTTTTTCTCTCCTTCCTTCCTACTTTCTCTCCTTCCTTCTTTCCCTCCTTCCTTCTTTCTCTCCTTCCTTTGTTCCCTCCTTCCTTCCTTCTTTTCCTCTTTCTTTCCCTCCTTTCTTCTTTCCCTCCTGTTTTTCCTCCTTCTTTCTTTCCCTCATTCCTTCTTTCCCTGTTTCTTTCCCTCCTTCTTTCTTTTCCTCTTTCTTTCCCTCATTCCTTATTTCAATCCTTTCTTTTTCTCTCTCTCCTTCCTTCTTCCCCTCCTTCCCTCTTTCCCTCCTTCCTTCCTTTTTTCCCTCCTTCCTTCTTTTCCTCTTTCTTTCCCTACTTCCTTCTTTCCCTCCTTCCTTCCCTTCTTTCTCTCCAGTACAGTGAAATACCTACGAGTCAGAGAACATTGCAGTGGCAGCATTTCCATACACAAGCTACCAGAAAGGTAAGTATAGGACCTCTACTTTTACAGCACTAGGGTTTTTTCATAAGAAACCCTGTGCTGACAAGGCCACTTTAAAGTAAACATGCACTTTGCTATTTAGTTATAGTGAAGTAAAAGCAGCAATCTGCTTTTTCATTCCAGGTCAGTTACAAAGTATTTTATGAATGAAACAGCCAGGTAACTAGCATTTTCAAAAGGCGAGGTTAGGAATTTTAGCCAGTGTATTTCTCTGAGCACACATTTCTTTTAGGAATAATGCATATTGCTTTAGTTTATATTTTTTATTATGGTCAGATTAAAAGCATTTTTTTATCCAATAAAGTATTGGATATGAATGTCTTGTCTTCTTTTCACATTTGTTCTGTATATTTACGTGATTTAGAAAGCATGTGGTTCACAAAGCTTGGTAGTTCAAGGTGAAATTTAAAAATCTCTTGCCAGACAGTTACATTTTTTTAACTGTCTGGAGAGGGTTCTTTTTTTTTAAAAAGTTATTTTGATTTTTTTAATTATTTTTACACTGTCCTTTTCATTTATATATTTTTTTGTTGATCACTTTTAATGCAGTCCCATGCCATCGGAGGAACCTGAGAATGCAGCCGGTGTTTCTGCCAGCTGACCATAGAGCTGATTGGAGACCAGAATGGTGCCAATCATCTCAATAGTCTAAGAAATCGGAAGCTGCGAGCATTTCATCACTTCAGTTTCGCAGGATAAAAAGAGCGCCATTTGAAAATTGGGAAAGCATCTGATCACACCGATTTTGGTTTGATTAGATAATGTAAGGGCAGAGGAGATGTCTAGAGTCTGATAGATCCCAGATTTCTCAAAAAAGAATATATGACAATGCCCATTGAAGTTATAGGGCATATTTGCATTCCCTGTGATAGCATCAAAAGTGATAAAAAAAAAAAAAATGAAGGGGACAGTGTAAAAATTATTTAAAAAATCAAAGTGACTTAAAAAAAAAAAAAAAAAAAATCTCCCCACACACGCGCACAACTGTGTGCACGAGCGTTGACCCTGTGCCGTTATGTAAACAGCGGTTGCACTATGCATGTGAGGTATCGCCAAACGTCAGATCAAGGGCAGTAATTCTAACACTAGACCTCCTCTGTAAATCTAAAATGGTAGCTTGTAAAGGCTTTTAAAACGTTGCCCATGCACATTAAGAATTTTTGCAGTTTGTCGCCATTGCACAGGGAGTCACAGTTTTAAAGTTTGTTATTTACCAAGATGGCGACCGGAGCAGCCGCATAGATCTGAGCTCCGGTCGCCTACACTGCCCACTCACCTCTATCTGGGGCCAGTGGGTGGACGACGGCCATCGGGGGTCCCCCCCTACCCTCCTTGCTGCTGGAGGGGGGGAGCGGTGCCTCTAGAGCCCCCACCACGCAACCCAGAGCTCAGCCGTGGCGTCCGACCCGACGGGGCCTGCCGCACAGCCTGCATCACCAGAGTCCGCTGGGCCCTGATCTCCACTGGCCGCCCGCCAGTCTGCTCCCACACAGCAGCAGGGGACGGACACCGTAAGCCTCCCTGAGACTCCTGCAATCCGCCGCGGCACCTGACCGAGCAGGGCCTGCCGCGGCCTACACAAATCGAGCCCGCGGCCTGCAGCATAAAATTCATCCGCCCACCAGTCTCCTGCAGCCCCAATAACGGCGGAGGTCGAGCACCGAAGGCCTCACCAACCCCACCTGCACCTGGAGGAGGGGAGCGGCTTCACCTAGACCCCCCCTCCGAGACGACTGCAGCACCCAGCCTGATGGGGCCTACCACAGCACACTCCCCCTGAAATCCATCC